GTTTATTCAGTTACTAGCCATGCATAGTCTCTAGCAGATGTTTGATCAACATGTGGACCTCCAGATGATATTGGATTGCAACTCCAATCAATTTTTGCTGTTGCCTGAACTTGCTATGGTAGATGGGAATTGTAACCCAACAACATTGGGGAGGGGGGAATCACAAGTTGCCCATCCTGGCTCTAATATCTGGTTAGTCTCTGGAGACACCTCAAGGGCCAAGAGTGTAGCCTAGGGGTAGGCAACCTTTCCCCTTTAAGGGCCGAGGGACTTCAGCTCCCAGAAGCCTTAGCCATGTTGGCCAATAGTCCCATGTGGCCAATAGCTCCTGGGATTCTGGGAGCTGAAGTCCCTTGGCCCTTAAAGGGGAAAGGTTGCCTACCTCTGGTGTAGCCATTCCCCATTGGGGGAAATATACTTGTTTGTCCACTTTCCACTGTGATATATTTAACAGAAACATCCAGTGAGTGGATGTTTTAGAGCAACATCTTTGCTTTTAAAATCCCTTTTCCTCTGAAATTCTAGGGTTATAAATGAGATGAAAAGAAATCATTCTGCAAAAGTAAAGCAGCATTAATCATTAAGATACCACTTGATGGGGGAAAGCTGTTTTCTTATAGGATTTTAAAAGTAAGAATGAGCAATTGCACAGTGTGGTGTCACCTTGACAGCACCCTATTCAGAGTAGGTTGGAGAATATGCAGATGCAACTTGAAAACCTCTGTGTGCTTCATGCTTTTGAGATAAGTTCCATAATTACTCCCTTTTAAAAGGCAATAGCATTTAAATCACTGTTGAAATATGGGAGGAAATATATTTTCTTCCATCATGCTTTAGTTCATAATACTATTGCTATTTTGCTTTAAGTTCCATTTACTGTGTGAAGTTAGCATTGCTGGCCTGGTGACTCAGAGGCTGAAACCTTTTTGCATCTGTGAACTTGATAGGTGGCATTAAGAAAGATGACTGAGGGCCTTTGCAGACAGCCAGAAATAGTGCAAATTGAGTCCACTTTAACTGCCCTGGCTCAGTGGTAGGGAATTCTGGGAACTGTAGTTTTGTAAGACATTTAGGCTCCTCTGTCAGAAAGCTCTGGTGCCAGAATAAACTACAATTCCCAGAATTCCCT